CGAGTCAAGGTAAACAAATAACAGTAGTGAAATATTAACTATTTAGCTCCATACAACCTATTTAACAGCTCTGTTTGTTTGGTCTTTTTTAATACTCTTCCACATTAGGAAAATGAAGATGACAAAACGGTATCAGATCTTGCTGTGGTATTGTTTGAAACTGCAACTTTGAGATCGGGATATATGCTTCCAGACACTAAGGAATATGGAGACAGAATAGAAAGGATGCTTCGTTTAAGTTTAAACATTGACTTGGATGCAAAGGTTAGTTTGCCTTCAACTTTAGGCTGATAATTGACTTACTGCTGCTCTATCTTAAACCAGGTACTTGGTAGACTTGCATAAAATAAAATTACAAAATGAAATTTATCCCACTTCCTACTCTTTGGTAGGCAACCAGGAGCCCAGTGGTAAACCAAGGAGTCTGTACTTCATGCTCATGTCTTCCCTTCCACTCTTCTTTCCAGTTGCTTTGCACTTTACACTTCTCAAGCATTGTCCTGTCCTTAACTAAGTGGTGGTTCTGTGGGAGTAAATTAGTGGCTGAAGGTGCATGTGCCCATCTCTTTAATGGAGAACTGCTATGTGGGTATAAATAATGTGGGTTCTTACAATGCTGTGCAAGAAGTAGCTCGGTATTTAGCTGTAGGAGACATGATAGTGTGTCAGTGCTAAACAGAACTTGCTTTCTCCTTCAGGTAGCTTGGGGCAAATGTTAGGAACTGATAGTGAATACTTCTGTAGCCTGTATAACTAGTAAACATCATAAGCAAATATAGAAAATTGCTTGTGACTTTCCTGCAGGTGGAAGAGGAACCTGAAGAGCCTGAAGATGCAGCTGAGGAGGCAGAGCAAGATGAAGAGGAGGTGGATGCTGATGCTGAAGACAGTGAAACACAGAAGGTAAGGTCTCAAGTTTGACTCTTCTTACCAGTATTTGTGTGGTTTTGTCTGTGGTGCTTTCTGGCAAAAAACTTTTTTGCTTTGCCTTCCAGTAGTTTTTAATGTGAGTCTCTTTTTTAAGGGGAAAAAGCTGCAGCACAAATTACATTTTCTTCCTTATCAAACTGTATTGTAAGAAGGCAACACTTGGCAACACTTAGCTATCTATGTTCAAAGTTGGAGCTAAATTAAGCTTAAGAGATTGTAACAGAGTGCCCTAAGGCAAGAAACAGCAGCAAGTTCTCTATCGTTGATTTAATGTTACCTGGTGGATTTCCACAGCTTGTGGGCAATAACATCAACAATTTGGCAAGAGTAAAGTTTCAAATGCTTTACAATACAGACTTAACACTACTTCTAAATAGTTCAACTGTTGTGTGAAGCTAGATTTCACTTAGCTAATGGCTGCAGTTTTAATGCAGATTTTTAAGATTACCTAAGAAAAAATTGGAGCAACAATGCTTATTGTATTATAACTTTTTAATTTTGATGCCAATACTGTTGTGTTTATAAAGCAGTATAGCCTGCAATGGCAGTAATAAGTTATAAAGGAGCTATTTGTTGGATTAGCGCACTTACCAATTAAAGTTTCTGAAACCTTTAAAAATTAAATGGCACACTAGATCTAGTGCTAACACTTGGGCAGACTGAAAAGAATTTTTTTCTGTCTTAATAGCAAAGGCTATTGACTTCAATACCTCCTTAAAAAGTTGTATTACTTCTGTTAGTGCTTTGAAAGCATCAACAGTATTTAAGTCCAGTTCTTCTGGGACAGCTCTTGTGATCTTTACTGCTTTGAAAAAGCAACATTCTGATCCTTTCTTTGTCTCCACAGGAATCCACAGATGTGAAAGATGAACTGTAAACTGCACCAACTACCGTCCTGCGTTGCAGGGTTAGGAGGGAATGTGAATTAGATTTTTCTGTTTTTTTCCACTGTAAAATGTTGAGGGATGGTATGGGGTTTAAGGGTAAAGGAGGATTTTTTTTTAAGTTCACTTTTCTAAAAAACATTCCTCATGAATGTAAATTTGTATTATTTAACTGACTTGGTGTAAAATCTTGTCATGTACAAAATAAAATGTTCCCAAACACCACTAACTCTACATTTTACATAGTAAGCTCATCTTGTTGGCTAACACAAAGACACAGAGGGATTGTCTTGAATGTTCAGGTCCTTTCTCCAGCAGGCATTTTGCAGTCCTGCCTTTCCACGTTGGCACAGCTGCACTTTACTATGTAGTGTATGCCAATGGTTAGACTTTGTGTAACAGACCTGCCATGCTGTTTAGCCAAAACATGTGGTATCTGAGAGCTGTACTGAACTTGCTAGTTAAAATAAGTTTGTATCTACTGACATCTTAAAGATGAGATAGGGCATTTAAAAATAGTGTTGGAACTGGAGTCCTGCCAGCTTATGCTGGACTGTGACTTGACTCCACTGTACAGTGTAGGCAGTAGTAGCTTTTACAGCCTAGATGAGCCAAAACAAACTTTCCTTTCATTAAAGATGTGAACACCAACCAACCAGAGGTGGCTCACTGCCTGTGAGCTTATGCCATCCTCTGTGGTCTTTAGTAACTGCCTTTAACTTGCGTAGTTTTCCTAACAGCTACGGCAGTCCTGCTTTCTGGTTTTGGTTTTTTTTTAAGGAGCTTTTGTCTGTTACAGTTATTCCTTAATGCTGCTGTTCTTAGACTTTTTCACTCTTGTTCTATGTCTCTTTCAGTATAGCAAAGCACTGTAAAGATCTCATTTAACTTAAGCTAAATCTGTTGACACCAAATAGTAATGTGGGCAGGTTGAACTGGAGGCACTACTTCTATTAATTTTATTAGCTTTATGTGGTGGTTGGATGAAGCACCACATTTTCTCACTCGTGCCTCTACTTTGAAACATCTTCACAGGGTTGGTAGAAAGTGTGTACACTGAAGCTTTTTAGGTTGGTTGTTCTTCCTGCCTCTAGAAGAACTGTATATGAGTAGTATTTCTATACCGTGACTACTTAAGAACCACTCTTTTATTAATGGAACTTCTGTGAAGTTCAAGTTTTACAAGATGAAGTGAAATAAACTTGTTTCTAGTTAGGCAAGTGCACTAAACACTGGCCTGAAGAACTTGGTTCTGTTTACTTACACCAGGCTTTTTCTATATTGCCCAAATGCTGTTTCCATGCAATAAATGCAGATGCCATGTATCAGTGTGGTTATTGAGTCAGGGTTTATACAGAGTTGTTGGCTTTATTGAAGTATGCTGTTTGAGACTTTAAGGGATGGGAGCTTAGTTTTGGTTTTTTGAGGTAGTTTGGGGTGGGTTTGGGTTTTGCTTACTGTAGTAGTATCTTAGATGCACTGTAAGAGCCTTTTGCTACTCGAGCATGCTGAGTAGTCTAACCCTGGAGTAGTTCAGCAGTTAGCAGTACCAGCTTTAATAGCAGTCTTTTGTTAGTAAGTTACCGAATAGGGCAGGTGCACCATTTCTTCTTAAGGCATGGTCCTCTGACAGTGCAACTTTTGTGCTCTGTAGCAATCAACTGCTGCTCAGGTTTTGATTTAATACTTCCTCGAATATCCCAGTGATACCCTTCTGAGTATATCATCAATATGGACCCTTCTATATCACTTTGACCAGCCTGAGTAGCAAACCTGGCTCAGGCCCGCTGTGGTTAAGAGTGCTTTTGCAGCTAACAAGCAGAAGAGGAGTAATGGAAGTGTAGGGTTGCTTGCTACAGTATTTTTAATCTGTTAAATACTTGTAGACTTAAGCAACTTTTGCTCTGTTAAATAGCTGAAGTTCTCAATGCTTTGTTTGGTTTTAAAACTACATATCTGATTTCAGAAATAATAAAGAGCATACTTGAGAGTTATGCTTTGTGCTTCATCTTCCTCAGCTGAGGGTATCTGATGCAACATGGCTGTGGTCCAGCTGCTTTCTCTACCCTGGAGTGACAAATGTTTACTAATAACTACAAAATGCAGCTATAAGCTTGTGGGGCTCTTTCTGGTCAGTTCTATGAAGCAGAATCATGTCAATACTGAAAGAAGTCTCTTTCAGCCATACTCGGGCTACTTCGCTTTGCTGTTCCTAGGTGGGCGCTAATGAGAATGGTTCCCGCAGTACTAAAAAAGGCTGGGGTAAAACAGATGCTCTCTGTTGCTCAGTTTCCATTAGCAGCAGGATCCATACAGAAATTCAGGCCACATTAGTACTAAGTTCACTCTGCAGCCTTTAGAAAATAGAGAGAAATAAATCTGTGGCAGAAATCAACATAAGGACAGAGGTGATTCTCCCCTCTTAGAGCAGGAGCAAAATAGTGCTGCACTGCCTCATCTTGTCTCTTCAATAACCTTCATCCAAATTGAGTACAAACATACATAATTTCAGTGTAATCTGTACACATTTCCCCCATTTTAACTAATACAACCAAGTTGTATGATCCTCCCCAGCCGTACAGTATAATCTCCTGTCAGTAACACACACAGAAAGCCATTGTAACTGCTGTTAAAGCATTTAGCCAGCAGTAGGAGTCATCCAGTGCAAGAAGTGCTGCAGTAAGGGATCTTTCTTGTACATGCCAGCACTTCCTGTATCACATTCCGGGTTACATCCGGAAACACCGAGGTAAAGTTTATAGAGGCAGGGAAATGCCAATGGGTAAGTGGGGTTCTACCACAGATGGACAGGTAAGCTTATTAAGGGTTACAAGTGCCCATAAAAGCTTGACTTTTCAATATGTGAAACCTCCTGTACTTGTTAATCATCTTAAAAGTTTCAAATTCCATCAGACTCACCAATGTGAGTTCACATCTTTTATTCTGATAGATATTTACACTGTGATCAAGATTAAGAAATCATAAGCACTTTTGTGCACAACCAATCAGACTTCTAACGAGAGTATTCATTGGACATGTTTTTAATGCTGCCTGTAACCCTGCTTAAAGGAAACAAGCAAACAAAAAGGATTAAGGGAGTACAGTATTTCACACGTGGACTTCTGCAGTTGAAACAGGTGAAAATATTTAATCAGTTCCAGTTTTCACAAAATAAGTAAGTTCTGGTTACTGTTGTGAAGTTTCAACTTTGTTTGATCTTGCTTTTAGACCCAGCAGTTCTGTCTTCAGTTCTCCAGGCTTAGGAGGTATTTCAGGTATACTCTGTTAAAATGGAGAAAGGTGTCAGCGTTACGGCAGAAGAAAAACTAAACCCACAAACCAGTAAACTAGCATGCTCTTGTAAGAGCCAGCATTACAGCTAAATTGTGAATACACCACCCTCTTTTCTGATCAGAGTACAATTCTTACATGCAAAAAACATCATAAAAATTAACCTATTACCTTTCTGTAATTTGACTTTTATTTGAAAGTAGCAAAATAGGATTTGAAAAGAAGGTGGAAAAAGGAAGAATGGACAGTTTTTGGTTTAAAGGAACAAAGCTTCTTTTTGCCATTTAAGAAAGTAAGTTTGGTTGAGAGGTCTGGTACAGTTGACGTTTCCACACATACTCTTACTCTTGGTGACAGAAGAAAATGTTTTACTGCTTCTGTTTTTCTGTTTTAGCAATTAAGCACTGAAACTGGAGATGAAATTTTAAAAAGATACCAGATAACACTTAACAAACCGTATGTCCTCAAAATTTGTACTAGTCTAATGTAGATCCTCAGACTGTTCTGGATATGCCTATTTGCGTGTAATCAAGGCTACAGTCAAGACTATTAAAACACATCTAGCAATGATTTAAGTCTCATTGCTTAAATGTTGACATGATAGCTCAAGCATGGTGATTTTTCAACTTATTTCTGTTTTGAAAATAGCACAGTGTTTTTAAAAACAAAGTATGCAAGAGCAGGAGGACAAGATAAGGCTTACAGGCCTCCAAGAGAGCGACTCAGCCATTAATATCCCTAGTGGATGGTCTCATTTGGATCTTAGTTCTCTCTGACTGAAATTTTCAGTCTTGACGTTCAGTCTGGCATCGTGTCTAAAGTCAACTTTTGTTCATTTCCATTACTGGAGGAAAAAAAAGCCTATTAAAATCTAGTGTACCCCATTCTCGCTACTTTTGCATGCTCTTTTCAAAACCCAGCTCCCCACAGCAGACCCCCCTTCTGAAGACATCTGTGCAGCTGCTTCATTCTGGGTACCATGCCGCTGGTCTGAGGGCAGCTCCCAAGACAAGACCTGGCTCCCTGCTCGTTGCTTCTTCCGAGGCCGATCGCTTCCTACAGCCAGGCCCGAGTCCTCCCAACGCAGGACCTCCACACCAGACCCCTCCAATCCCGCAGAGGCGCTACCGGGCTCCCTAACGCCACCAGGTAGCGGAACCTTCCCGGCACTTACGAGGTCAGGCCTGTAGTA